CTTCTCCACTGCTGGTGGGAATGTAAACTGGTACAACCACTCTGGAAATCAATCTGGCGCTTTCTCAGACAACTAGGAATAGCGCTTCCTCAAGATCCAGCCATACCACTCCTAGGCATATACCCAAAATTTGCTCAAGTACACAACAAGGACATTTGTTCAACCATGTTTGTAGCAGCTTTATTTGTAATAGCCAGAAGCTGGAAACAACCCAGATGCCCCTCAACTGAAGAATGGATGCAGAAACTGTGGTACATCTATACAATGGAGTATTACTCAGCAATGAAAAATAAGGAAATCATGAAATTTGCAGGTAAATGGTGGGACCTGGAAAGGATCATCCTGAGTGAGTTGACCCAGAAGCAAAAAGACACTCACGGTATATACTCACTCATATAAACATACAATATAGAATAAACCCACTAAAAGCTGTACATCTAAACAAACTAAGCAAAAGAGAGGACCCTAACTAAAATGTTCAATCCCCATCCTGAAAGGCAAAGAGGATGTACATCAGAAGAAAACGAAAATAGGAAACAACCTCGGAACCCGCTACAGAGGGCCTCTGAAAGCCAGAAGAAAACAGGAAACAACCTTGAAACCTGCCACAGAGGGCCTCTGAAAGCTTCTGCAGTATAGACTGTCAAAGCAGATGCTGAGCCTGATGGCCAACTGATGGGCAGAGTGAATGGAATTTTATGTAAGAAGTGGGAAATAGTAAGAGCTAGAGGGAACGGGAACTCCACAAGCAGAGCAACAGAACAAGATAATTTGAACACAGGGAACTTCCCAGAGACTCCTACTCCAACCAAGGACTATTTGTGGAGATGACCTGGAACCCCTGCACAGGTGTAGCCCATGGCAGTTCAATGTCCAAGTGGGTTACATAGTAATGGGAAGAGGGACTGCCTCTGACATAATCTGATTGGCCTGCTCTTTGATCACTTCCCCCTGGGGGGGGAGCAGCCTTACCAGGCCACAGTAGAGGACAATGCAGCCACTTTTGATGAGAACTGATAGACTAAGATCAGAAAGAAGGAGAGGAGGACCTCCCCTATCAGTGGACTTGGGGAGTGGCATGCATGCAGAAAGGGGAGGGAGGGTGGGATTGGCAGGGGAGGAGGGAGGGGCTTATGGGGGGATACAAAATGAATAAAGTGTAATTAATAAAAAATAAATAAAAGATTTAAAAAAAAAAAAACTTTTAAAGTCTAAATCTCAGTCTAAATCAACAAATCTTAATCTGATCACAGAAAGGACTTCAGGAAATTTGTCCTATGTCATAGGGCCTATGAGGACATAAAAATGCATTACAAAGGACAAATGCTTCCAGAAGTAATTGGGATTATGTGTAAGCATCAGTTCTGTCCAAATTTTAACTAGGTGTCCTTAAGAATGTTCCACAGTTTAATACGTTTCACTAAAACCTAGATGTATAAACATGTTTTATAAAATTCTGACCAACCACTTTAAAACATTGGCCTTTTGGTTTTTTTATTATATAATAAAGAAATGCTACCAGAAAATTTCTGAAGCTACTGAATATAGGAAATTTGAACTCCCTTAGCTTAGCTTGAGGCAAAGTGGTCCCAAGACTAGAAAGCACTATTAGAGATGCCTTACTTTATTTTAAGTTACCTTACAAATGAATTATAAGACTATAGAACAGTGGTTCTCAACCTGAGGGTCCCAGTTCTTTGGGGGTCAAATGACCATTTACAGGGGTTGCCTAAAACCATTGAAAAAATGCAGATCTTTACAATTCATAACAGTAGCAAAATTACAATTACAAAGTAGCAAAGAAAATAATTTTATGGTTGGGGGATCACCACAACATGAGGAACTGCTGCTATAGAATGTCACAGCCTTAGGAAGGTTGAGAACTACTGCTATAGAATGTCAAGAAAAGCAAAACTGGATTTATGCCTTAATGTGTTTAA